GGGATAAATTTAATTGCAGGTGCATAATTGTATCCTTGATCTGCTATAGTTTTATGCTCCATTATTTGCACTAAAGCATTTCTTGGTATGTTTGTGTGTGTCTATGTGTCTAGGTTTCAGTTGTATCATTTTTCCCCCTTGTGTACTTAATGGGTAAAAAAATACAGAAGGATTCAGGTTTGGCTGGGACTCTAGGCTACTGTGCGTGTGTCCTTTCATTTTGTAGCAGTTTCTTTAACATTTTCATAGTAATAACTATTTCTTCTGGTGCATTCATTCATAGTTTCTTCCAAACATTAGTAGCAATATTTATTTTTTTTCACATTTCTGTAGAGCCTATCTCCCTCAAATATAATATAACTTGTTCAATGGGGTAAAGCTTTGGTGAATTTCAAGACAAGGCTAAAGAAGAATGCCTAATATCTCAGTATGTGAGTAAATAAATAAATTCTCTCATAGGCCAAATTACCATACATTATTTGGCTATTTGGATTAAGATAGGAAGTGAAGGCATCTTGTAGATAGTTTGATAGTGTATTTATCCCAACATTTGCCTCACTTTGACAAGTATTTTCCTGTATATTTGGAAAAATAAATACTTTCATAGTAACTTTTTTATGAAGGAAATCTACTACTGAAAGTGAGTATGCAAAGGTTGGACAAAATGTTTGAAAAAAGATATTTTCCAGTTTGCTTTAATATAAGTGAACTACCTCTTTTTGGATCATTAAAATAGCCTTATCCTTTGTAAGGCTCGTGCAGCTGTTTCAGTTGGTTGGGTATACTTGTGCAATACAGCCACTTTGTTTCATTTCTGTTGTTGGTTAAGCACATGCAGATATAGGTAATTTAAAACAGCTTTCAGAGAGATCTTGCAAGTTAGCAAAGATGCAGCTGCTTTTATATTATGGGAAGAGGAGCTGTGTTTGCATCTTTTCCAGATGCTTTGCACAGCCTCATGCAGGTATCAGAAGAATTGTCAAGAAAGGAGCTACAGATAAAATTGTTCCTATGCCGTTGTTGTATTTTTTATTTTTTGGGGGGGGGGCATAAAATGTAAGACATTGAAATACAGAATTGCAGCATAGACCCATATATTCATAATTAATTTCATTCCATTTCTTTTCTTTTCTAAAGAAATGTTATTGGTAACAGGCTCAAAACGAGCATACAAATGTTTATATAATTTGGTTTATGATTGGCCCATTTACCATTATTTGCTGCATTGATACAGGCATGACAAATCTGTCAACAACTATATGATTGGTTCATACAATTCATTTAAAATGTTCACTTAAAGAATTAGTGTGTCCTATTTGCCGAATAAGTGGAGTTTGATTAATTTTGTTTGTAAAGTATCTTATGTGAACCAACCTATTTCTATAATTGAAAGTTTGAATATGTTGCATATGTATACATTTGTTCATCTGTGAATAATCAAGGCTATCCATTTTTGATAAGTGGTCTATAATTAGCATGTAAGTTTTGTTTTTGAATAACTTTAGAATGCTCAGAGATACCCCTAACAAACTCTAGGTAGGCTATTGTTTCCCAGTTTTGTGCCTCTTGCGCTGATAAGGCATAATTCAAAGCTTTTCTTAAATCTCTTGCAGTGTTTTTATCATCCACCAGATGTGCGCAGTTGAGTAACTTTGGCTCAGTTTCAGGGTGGTGATGTCAGAGCTACTGGATTGGAAGATGAGATCTCCTGACATTGTGTCATCAGGGTGGTGGCCATTTCCTCCCCTCCCTCCTCCCCTTTCTGCCCCCTCCCTTTCTGCTGGCCTCATTTCTCAGGAACAAAGAAAACAAACTGTGTGTGTGTGTGTGTGTTCCTTTTTCTCAGATAAAAGATTTTGCTTAGCTGCCAGAGCATCTTGTTTTTTCCCATCTGTTTCTTTCTTTTTATAGTATAACTCCTATACTAGGAAGATTTAACAGCATCCAGACTGTATTTTAGAGAATTAAGTGTAATCAAAGAGAAGGGAGGGAGATCTAGTCAGAACTTAACATTCTAATGCAACTCCTCCATCTGGTACCATAACAGTTGTAAATTGTTTAACTCTTCCTATTCCATTATGGAATATCTTGGGGATGATTAATTACAACATGTGCTAGGCTTTTTATTCTGATACAATAATACTTCACTTTGAATTTTCTAACCAAAGAGAAGTTTGCTTTTTAGCCTTCCATATAGTTGTATTTTACTTAAACCCTATATGTCTGTATAATGGTTTAGGACAGATTTAGGACATTCTCAAGCTCACACTGCAAAATAAAATATGTAATTTTGCAATTTTCCTGGGCTAATTCATGCAGGCTAAGTTGGGAAAATAAATTTATTTCTGCAAATCCTAAGTCTTTAATAGAGCCATTTAATGCTGTTATGTTGCTCTTAAAGACTCTGTAAGTGCTTTCAGCTTGACCTGCAATGCTTACCAAGACTGCTCTTGAAATATGACAATATCAGAAAGCCAAAATTTGGAAGTTGAAATAATTATTTTCCTTTTCAATTTCAAATTCATGATATATAAATACTGCATTTGTGTAGCAATATTATTGTGTAAGATTTAATCTGGCAGAATATTGTCCAAATATAGACCTTTGTGGATTATAATTATGAAAGAATTTGTCACTCAAAAATAGAATATATATAAATCTGAGAGAGAGAGTGATTCTACAGATTTCTTATTTGCTAGCAGGCTGTTTTGTTTCCATTGCAACACATGCTTCTCAATCCTAAAGTATCTCAATGCCAAACCAGGTTTGTGTAAGCACCAGATGGTGCTGTTGCCTTATTTTACTATTCTCTATCTTCCTTTTGCCGCATTCAGCCATTTTAGGGAGGATGTTTGCCTTCCCTTTAGACTCCATTTTGTATTGATGGCGCAGAAAAAAATTGAACAAGGGAGGAGTTTGCAGGAAGAATGAACCATGCTGAGTCAAAGGCTGCTATTATTTGGTGGCTCTGCTTCTTGCTTTTTTTCATGTTCACTCAGCAGATATAGGCCAGGAAGCAAGCTTTATTTCATGAAAAGTAATATGTTTGTGATCAATAGCAGTTAAAAATGACCTTTAGCCACACTGAACCACCTTTTCTGTCTATTCAAATCAATGCTGACAAACCATGCTAATGGTTGGTTTTATTTTCATTCATATCTTTTAGTTATTTTTCAGGAAAATTATACGTCAGACTAAATCTTTTGCTATATATAGCTAATCAGGAAAGGTATGAATCATAGTGGGGGTTAATATAAGGAAGCAACAAATAGAAAGCAGTAATTATCAGAAAGATTATTGATACATTTTTGAAAATAAAATATGCTTTCCCATAGATAAGATGAATATTAATACATTGTTTTATTCAGTTGTAGTATGCAATATGTGAGCTCCTCTCTTCATATTTCAGGTTTCAATACTGAGTCAAAATTGACTACTGCAATATTTGAGAGTGATCAGCTAATAGCAGGGGTCTTCAATCTTGGCCCTTTTATGACTTGTGGACTTCCAGATTTCATCAGCCAGCATGCCTGGCTGGGGATTTCTGGGAGTTAAAGTCCACAAGTCATAAAAGGCCAAGTTTGAAGACCCCTGGCTTATAGTAATAGCAAAAACCCAGAGCATTCTCAAACTATTGTTTCTTCATTAGTGAGTTTAATTTCAGGAAGTTACTGTGACATGGACCTGAAACATTATTTTCAGAAGAGCTATATGTGCTATCTCAGGTCTATTTCAGTCTCTCTCTAAATTCAGGGTTTTTTAAAAATCTGTTAGTGAATCAAGTTGTTTTCCTCTTGCCTTCATTAACTGATTTCAAAGGAGTGACCCTATCTTTTGGAGAGGGGAAAAAAAAAAAAGAAGGCAGAACGTAATTGCTTCTTTAGAAATGACTGAACATAAAACATCAAGTTAGGTTTGACATAGCCATTATTACATTAAGTAGTTGGTTAACATAGGTAATATGATAAGAAAAATAATCCTTATTTAATCCATGAGAAATTGTGTTAAATCTAATGAATACACAAATTCCTATTTACAGAAATCAGTCTTAATTCCTTTTCTTGTCAATATAATAAAGACTATGTACTCAGATCTAATGCTAATATAGGATTTGTCACCGCCAAAGCAATTCTTTTTCTGGTATCATTCTTCTTTTTTCGTCCTTTCCCCAACAAACAGCTGTGATAATATATCTAATAGGATTATATTCCATGCACTTGATGTGGTAGATTGTGATCCATAAAAGTTTATGTGACAATGTATTTATTGCTCTTCAGAATGTGACAAGTTAATTTCTAATAACTATGATTACCACTATGTCATTCTTAATGAGCTGATGAATCTGTGCTCTATCTCTACCATTTTTCAGGGCAAGTCCAAATTCAGATAATCAATATCAATATGTTTTATCATATATTTCCTGTACATACAAAATTATACTATTCACAAGGGAATGGTTTCCCCCGTGTAGTTTTCTCCATGAATGGAATATTTTCATCCATAAGGGCATTTCACTTTGTATATTCCTGGCTTCGTATCACTATTGCAGGTCATCTTGGTAATCATTTCAGTGCCCCAAGTTGATATATCTTCCATTTTGTCCCTTAGGGCAAGATCCTATTTTATAATTATGCTGTGCCACTTTTTTCTATAAGGCTTACCTAAATCTCTTATCTAAATCTTATCCAAATCTCTTATCTAAAAATTGTGTACCTCTTTGTCACAGGATTGTGGAGTAGTCCTTTATGTATGGGCACATAAATAGATCAGTTACTGCTTTGAAATAATAAATGGGGGAATGACAGTGTAGTTTTGTTTCGTGAGGGGAAATTTGAAAGATACCTCCTGATATTGGATGCATCTATTATAGCAGGCATACCTTATCTTTTTATCCCTCTTAATAATCTTTTCAGTGTTAAGGGATGCCCTGAATTTCTTTGAGAGATTGGTAGTTATGGACAGTTCTGTTGAAATTAACTAAGATCTTTAATTCTTCACAGCAAAAAAGCAACCCGAGGGTGGAGAAGAAAAGAATCAAGCTAAGAAGAAAGTCAAAGAGCTGAGAGTGCTAGATTCAAAAAATGCTCAGAACCTTTGTGAGTATGATTTGATATGATTAAGGAGAAATTCCTATCAGTGAGAACAATTAACCAGTGGAACAGCCTGCCTCCAGAAGTGGTGAATGCTCCAACTCTGGAAGTTTTTAAGAAGAGACTGGACAGCCATTTGTCTGAAATGGTATAGGGCAGTGGTGGTGAACCTATGGCACGTGTGCCAGAAGCGGCACCAGAGCCCTTTCTGTGGGCACTTCTCTGAACTGCTGGTGGTGGGCTGCAGAGCCCCAGAGTCTGCCAGTTGAGGGGCCGGCAGGCTGTGGCTGCTACAGACACTGTTGGTCCCCATGCGCTCGCTGGCCTCTGTGTGTGGGGGCCGATGGTGTCAGGCAGCAGCCACCCCAGCACCTGCCTTGCTTTGCCCTGAGATAATGGCACCCCCACCCTGCCTCACCTCACCCCACAGGACAAGCCTCCTACCCACCACCCCACCTGCTAGAAACCAACCCTGCCCGGCCTCCACAGGTGTTCGTCCCCACGAGCAACATCGAGGTGACCACGCCCACCTTGGCCACACCCACCCAGTCTGCCATGACCACCACAGCCATGCCCACCCACCTGGCACCCAGCAATAAATAAGTGGGTTTGGGGTTGCAGTTTGGGTACTCAGTCTCTAAAAGGTTCGCCATCACTGGTATAGGGTTTCCTGCCTGAGCAGGGGATTGGACTAGATGACCTCCAAGGTCCCTTCCAACATTATTATTATTATTATTATTATTATTATTATTATTATTATTATTATTACTGGAGGTTTTTAAGAAGAGACTGGATAGCCGTTTGTCTGGAATTGTATAGGTTCTCCTGCTCAAACGGGTTGGATTAGAAGACCTCCACTGTCCTTTCCAACTATTGTTCTGTAATTCTGGTGGGAAAGTTGGCCTACGTTTACTGTGACAACTTTCAGAAATTATTTGAATGTTTATTTAAATGAAGAAAAAGTCAGGAAAGGTAATTTCTCTGATTTGAATATTTGGATACGCCAATAATTTGGTTAATTGTACTTCTCTTTAAATGTGGCAGCAATTTTTTTGGGCTCCTTTCGCTTGCCTTATGAGGAAATCAAGAACGCCATCTTGGAGGTGAATGAAGCTGTGTTGACTGAATCCATGGTGCAGGTGAGAACGACTGGAATGTGTGATCATATTTTCTCTCTAGAGTGTAAGTCTACACAGCCAGTATCCATTAAGTTGAACTCAATCTCCAGTAGTTCTGGCAACTAAAAAGCATTTATTTTGCTATCCAGGATTGTAAGAACAGAGAGAGATTGTCAAGAACTGGCAGCCCCAAGGTTTCTGTTCGATAGCTCATAAATTATTCAGGCTTGAGTATATAATAATAAGGAGATTATGCTGTCATTGGATCCTTTGTATTTGAATATTTGCATATCAAATTATGTTAAAAGGGTTCCATAGTTTGAAAGACCCATCCTTAGACTAGTTTTTTCTAGGTTAATATTATCATATTTATCAGAAGCTATTCCAAGCAACTGTATCCTTTTAACTTCTTTCTCAGAATCTGATTAAGTTAATGCCTGAACCAGACAAATTGAAGATGATAGCAGGACTGAAAGAAGAATATAATGAACTAGCTGAGTCTGAGCAGTTTGGAATTGTGGTAAGTGATTATTGCAGAAGAGGAATCATATCTCTTTCTGAAAAGAAATAAATAACAAACACACAATAATACAGTGTAAGTTTGTCCCTCTTATTTTTCAGACAGTCTGTCACATCATTTTCTAGGACGTCTCAGTCTTATGTCTACCATGTTATACTAAGTGCTTCATTTTTTTTCTTAGCTTTGAGTATAGTCCTTATATTCTAGCCTACATGTCTCCTGAGCTATTTGTGCTTGAGACAGAAAAAAATGGAAATTCTGATTTTGGGATTTGTTGGTTTACTTGTTGCTATTAAAATTGCTAGTATATACTAAGCATGTAAAACCAAAAGGTTGAGGCTGTAATTTTATTGCCTTTATTCTACTGCACTGAAGAGTTGGGAGTTAATGCTTTTTTCTTCTTTTTTCCCCTTTATCCCACATTTTTCCCTTCCCCTTTTTTCCTTCTCCCGCTTTATTTTTCTTTATTTTCACTTGTATTTTATAGAAATATAAATTTTGTCCTTCACACTGAAGCCTTAAACAATGAGGGGAGGCGTATGCTGCTATTCGAGGGGAAAATTTAACAGAGTTGGAAGGGTCAAACTCCCTGCTCCAGAGGAGACCCTACACCATTCCGAACAAAAAAGGTTAAAAACCTTCAATAAAGGAGTACCCACAACTTCTGGAGGCAAACTCTTCCATTGATTAATTGTTCTCACTGTCAGGAAATTTCTCCTTAGTTTAGGTTGCAGCTTTCTTTAATAATTTTCCACCTGTTACTTCTAGTCCTGACCTCAAATGCTTTGGAGAATAGATTGACCACCTCCTCTCTTGGCAGCTCTTCAAATATTGGAAAACTGCTATCAAGTCACCCCTAGATATACCCAGTTCCTTCAACCATTCATTGTATATTTATCTTCCAGGCTCCTAATTGTCTTTGTTGTTATCCTCTATAGTCTTTCAAGTATCTCAACATCTTTTTTGTGTGCAGCATTCCAAGTGTGGTCTTACCAGTGCAGTACAAAGCGATACTAACAATTTACATGATCTTTACACCTTGATCTATCTATTGAGGCAGCCTAGGATTGTCTTGACTTTTTTGGCAACTATAGCACAGTGCTGGCTCATACTTAACAGTAGTGGCCAAAATTGTGGAAGTACTCCTTTATTAATTCGTTCTGACCTCCTTGGTAGCACCTGTTCCTGTGCTTCTGTGTCCTCATTTTATTGGATTGATTTTACTGTCAATTAGTTCTTATTTTTATGAAAATTTTTAAAACATTCACTTGGAATCTTCTGTCAGTTCTGTCTTAAAAAATTTTATGTGTGATATCATTTCAGATATGTTAAGGATATCATAACTCTAGTTATACAATTTCAATTCCTTTAGTCCAGGCATGTCAAACTCGCAACGTCATGTGACGTCGCGTGACGTATCGGAGCTTTTTTGCCATTGCCGGCAATGGGGTGGGTGCGGCTCCGGTATGATGAAACCGGCTCGCGGGCTGGCAGTTTGACACCCCTGCTTTAGTCCCTCTTTTGGTCCTGGATAATCCTGACTGCTCTTCTCTGAATCAGTTCCAATTTGACTGATTCAGAGAAGTGTAGTGTCCAGAATGAGGCACAGTAATCAAGGTAGAGGTAGACCATTGCAGAGCAAAATGGAATGCTTTAGAAACTAAGTTTCTACTGATGCAGCCAAAAATTGCATTTTTGTTTTTTGGAACTATATCATACAGCTACATTATTCAGTGTATAACCAAAGAACTTTTTCATAAGTAATAAATCAAATCTCAAATTCCAAGCCATCTATCATACACACAATAGTTGTCCATTTGAGTTTTTTTCTATATGTTTAATTTTGTATTCCTCTCTCTTAAATTGCATGCCTTTTCCTTACTTACTTTCAGTATTAATTCTATCTTTTAGGGTGTTAGCCTATCCAATTTTGTGCCAAGTGCAAATTGTTACAATAAAAATGGTGAAGAGTGCAGAGCCCAGGACTGAATCTAGTGGTGTCCCATTCGAGACATTCTCCTGGTTGAGGAAGAACCATTGATGAGCATTCTTTGAGTACAATTTTCAGATCAGCTCTACTTAATTATCATGACATCCAGCTCATCAAATATAAGATAAGGTTAGTCTAGTAAGCATTGTTCTTGATGAATCCGTGCTGACTTCTGGTGATCACCATATTGTTTTCAATATGGTTACAGATTACTTTATGATCTGCTCTACAAACCTCCCATCTATTGATGTCAGACTGACTAGTGTGGATTTCTTTAGATTCTCTTTTTACCTCTATATAAATCGGTATAATATTTGCCTTTATCCTATCATCTGGCACTTCATTGGTTGTTCTAGATTTCTTAAATAATATATAAAAATTAAGCTGGTCCATAAGCAACTTCTTTCAGTGCCCTAGATTAAAATATTAAAAATGAATAATTACTCTCTAACAATTTTTTTTATCAGTCAGACTTTAATCCTGCCTCTTGATTCTGTTTTGAGGAACACATATTCTCTTATTGGAAAAAAGTAAAGCAAATGTTCTTTCATAAACATTTGTTTCCTATTAGCATTTTGCGATCTCTTGAGATTTGATGTACAAATTATTTTCTTTTTATTTAAAATCTATATGAGGAAGCATTTTGTTATCTACTGCAGAGGTACCCAAAAGGTTGGGGACCGGTTCTTTGGAGAGATACTTTTCCGCGGACCAGAGGGTGCATGGTTTTGTGTGCTGCCTGCATTCTGTGGATGGGGCTTTGCTTATTTGTGTGGATGGTTGCTGGCATGTCGCGGCCCAGTACTGGTCCATGGACTGGGGGTTGGGGACCCCGAATCTACTGAATGCTTTGCCAAACTCAAATTATTCTGAATTTTATTTTTTCTGTTTGCATGTCTACAATTCCAAACCACCTGTATTTTTTCTTTGGTAACCTGTCTTGATTTTTACCCTTTATTCATGTCATTTTTTATTTTAGATTTTCAATTAAGTTTTTTGTGCTAACCTTTTGGCGCCTTCTGCTTCTTCCTCCTCCTGCTTCTCCTCTGGATTGTTTGCTATTGTAGTTTTATTGTATTTTCCTGAATTCCTACCACATATCGTCCAGCTTTAAATTCTTCTTACAACTTATCTCTTGTTGTTAAAATCCACATTCCTGATACTTGGGTTTAATTTTCCTTCAAATCAATATCTCCAGTATTATATTGTCACTTCTAGCCAGCTGTCAATGCTGCAAATACTATATATTCTTGCTTTGACAATATGCAAAACTGTCTGGTATTTACTGGGTTAATACATAGCTTAGAGTGGGGGGGGGGTAAAAAGCCCAGGAAAGAAAGAGGAAGTAAACTTTCGACCTTCACACTAATTGGATAATGTGATTTGTGACTGCAAGATAAGGGAGGGGTTTAGCAAGAAAAGTTTGATGCCAGCAAGAGGAAGTCAGATTCTGGCATCAAAACGTCCATGATGGTGACTGGCAATTTGTAGCTCTGTAATAAAGGCTTTAGGAAACATGCCTGAAGTTCTTTGAAGTGCTTCATTAGTCAGAACCTGACATCATGCCAGAATCCAACATTCTTTTCAAATGACCTGCGGTCCCGAACTCCATCAGCTGCCTCTATGCTTGAGAGGAGCTGGCAAAGATTCGGGGAAGATCTCATTATGGAGAAAGAAAGATTGCCTGAGCCCAGCCCCGTGGCTGCAACAGTTTCCTGGGGGGGGGGGGAAGGAACAGCCAGCAAGCCGGGGGAGAGAGGAATTTGGCAGATTTCCCAGCTGAGAGTGAAGACTTCAAAAGCAGAATGGATAACACAGTTATGGGTGAGTCGTTGGAAAGATTTCAAAACTTAGAAATGAAAACCAGAAATCAGTTCCTGCAAAGTGAAACCTACACGCCCTTCCTTCGAGTGTTTCCGGTGTGGACAAGGAGGACACCGAGCGGCCACCTGTCCAGTCCCCTACCCTTGACTGCAGAGCAAGCCAGGACCGGCAATGCAAAAGATACCTGCTCAGCGGCTAACGAGAGAAAAATCCAATCGACTCACGCAAGAACCGGTTGCCCAGTTTACATCCCCCACACAGGAAGATGCCAAGACTCCAGATGGACCCTGCTCTACCCTTCTTTGACAGCGACGATGAAGGAGAAAACGACCCAATGGTGAGTCGACAAATCCTGCCTTTTTCACTGGCCGCCAAACTTATAATCCCTAAGTTTGGGGCACAAATAGATTTGAACGTACTAATTGATTTGGGATGTACCCGCTGCATTATTAGTCTGGCGTTTGCCATGAAAATGGGCATAAGGGCAAAACAACTTTCCAAACCGGTGAGATTTGAGCAAGCCGATGGCTCCTTGATGGGAGGGACTCTTATCACACAATTAACCGAGCCTTTACGCCTAGAAATAGGTGCCCACTGGGAGTTTATTTGTTTCCTGGTGGCTCCAAAAATGACTGAGGCAGTGGTCCTAGGACTAGCCTGGTTGGACAAATGGAAGCCGTTTATCTGGTGGGAGAAAGGAATGAGAATTGTGAGACTACCTATAGGGCCTGATCCCCCCCCCCATTGATTCAACAGATGTTACTGGGCATCTTAGGCCATTCAATGAGCGAGTGCACATGGCTGCCTCACTGCCTCCAGGCGAACCAGTCATCCCCAAGGAATACTTGGACCTGGCGGAGGTGTTCAGTGAAAAAGAATGTGATGCCCTACGCCCTCACAGACCCAATGACTGCTCCATCGAACTGGTGCCCGGAGCCAAACTCCCACGTCCGAGGATGTATGCTATGTCCCCCCTCGAAATGGAGGAGATGCAGCGATATGTGAACAAAAACCGAGTGAGGGGGTTTATCGAACGGGCCAAATCTCCCGTGGGATCCCCTGTGTTGTTCAAAGAGAAAAAAGATGGGTCTCTTCATCTCTGCATAGACTACAAGGGACTCAATGCTGTAAGTGTGGAAAATAAATACCCCCTCCCCCTCCTAAAGGATTTATTGATCCATGTGAC